ATGGGGACCTCAGACCAGGGGTGATAGCTGGGGTTGGCGACGGCGTCTTCCGTGTTGACGGTGAGCACCCGGCGGGCAGTGAGCTTCTGTTCTCTTCTGCTTTCGACGGAGGTGAAGCCCCCGAAGATGGTGGTGACCACCTTGTCGTGATCCTGTAAGGCATTGTTGTTGCCCCCAGGTGGTCAGCGGCCTCTGGCTCCATCGTTGTTGTCGTCGTCCGGCTTTTTGGCCTAGAACTCCTTAGCCAAGCCGAGGCAGTCCTTCATCTTATGCTTGGCATTCTTGTGGAGAGGGCACGGGCCATTGAGGATCTTCTTGTATTGCTCGTCATAGTTGCACTTGGCTCGAGGTTCTTCGATGGCGGTGACGGTGTGGTCTGGTCGGTGGCGGCGATATTGACCAGACTTGGATCCTTCTGGTCGATCACGACCACTGTCCTAATGGTGACTGCGGTCACCGTAGCGGCGGTCGCTATGGCGCCGGTCGTTGGGGCGATCATCGTTGCGGCGAGTTGGGCGATGAGTGCTCGCATCCTCGTTGAAGCGCACCTCGGCTTCCTCGGCGTTGGCGTACTGGTTGGCGATCGTAATCATCTCACCAATCCCCATTGGCGGCTTGCGGTTGAACTTGGAGCGGAGATCACGGTGATGGAGTCCTCGAATGAAGGCGGTGATAACCTCAGCTTCCATGATGTTGGGAATAGAATTCCTCATCTCGAAAAAGCGTCTGATGTAGCTACGGAGGAGCTCGGATGACTTCTGGTAGATGCGGTTCATATCATGCTTGGTGCCTGGTCGAGTGCACGTAGCCAAGTAGTTGTCGGTGAAGACCTTCTTCAGCTCTTCCTAGGATCCGATGGAGTCCGGGGCAAGGCTTGTGAACCAGTTCATCGCGGTTGGCGTGAGCATGATGGGAAGATAATTTGCCACAACACTGGTATCTCCTCCGACGGCGCGAACATCAGTGGCGTAAGCCTGTAGCCACTGTGTGGGGTTTATCCATCCCTCATAGGGCTTGACCCCAGTGATTTTGAAGCCACAGGGCCACTAGAGTATTTGGAGTGCCCTCGTGAATGCTGGGGGCCCTTCGGGATTATCGACGCCATGATCTACAGCATTGCCGGCATTGAGCGGCTCGAGAGCTGAGTCTGGGTTACCAAACTCTTGCTCGTACTCTTGACGGCGGCGTACTTCTTCTTCATGGCGACCAAAGAAGCGCTTGTAGATACATCGTCGTGCGTCTCGGAGATTATTCAGGTGCACTCGGACGTCCTAGTCGACCTCCTAGTTGTGTTGGCAAAGGTTTTCAATGCGGTTGCCCCTAGCTCCCCCTGGAGGGGTTGTCTGTCATCGTGGTGCTGGTCGGTGAAACGACTTGGGCGGTGATCAGATCTTGGCGCGTCTGATCGGTGAATCGAACTTGTGGAGTATGAAGGCCTCTGATCCTGGCTAATCTCATTGATCTGACAGTGCGCCGCTTTAAGCATGGCGGCGACCTTGGCGACCTCCGGTGTCTGCGGGAGTCGGGCGAGCTCATTGGCGGCCACGGCCAAGTTGGCGCTTAGGGTCTTGTATACGTCGTGGCCGTCAACACGGATGAATTCGTCATCGAGGTTGCGGTGGAGTTGGCGTGGCCTTCCTTGCGAGTCAAGCTGAGCCTCGGCCATCGCAAGGGCAGCCTCGTTTGCTCGGCGCTGCGCGCGGTTGAAATTCCTATTGACGCGGGCGGCGCGGTCCTCCTCGGTTTCCCCTTCCCATGAGGGGCTGTCGACGCTGACGTTGAAGATTGCACCCCCACGGAAAGGAGGGAAAGGAAGTTGTTCGGCGGTGGTTTCGGCTACAGTCTTCGTAGAGCCCTGGGACTCGGAGTCTGGATTCTCCTCCAAGATGGTTTGGAGGATGCTTCGGGGCATCGGCCGACGTGTAGCATGTTGACTGTCGATGAGGGCTGGTCGGCGATCTAGTCGACGAGAGGATGGATATCTCCCACCTGGTCGGCGAATTTGCCCCTTAGGGCATCTGGATAGGCGACGGCGACGTTGGTGAGCCCAAAGGGTAGGGCTATAACCCCTGGAATTTCCTAAGCAGCCTCTGTTAGATCTAGATTGGAGGGTGGTCAGCGCTGAACCGGAGTGGTCAGAGCCGATTCTGTGATGGAGAGGCAATCGGTGAGCTTCTGGCCGACCTGATCGATGGATGCGATCAGATCATTGTTGTTGATTCGCCTCCTCTGGTAGCGGGGGAGCGGGCGGCGAGTTGTTGGCGAAGACGACCTCGGAAGCGGTTCCAAGATCGAATCTGCAGTCGCAGGTGTTGGGGTGATCGGCGCAGTATTGATCTGCACCGGCTTGATGAGCTCTCCGACTCCGTCAGCGTTGATGATCCACGAGATCAATCTGACCATGAAGATCTGGCCGGGCTGTGGGAGGGACAAAGAGCCTATAGAACGTACCATCTTGTTCGATATAGAAACAGCACGCACACCCCTACCTGGCGCGCCAACTATCAACAGAATATCATCGGTAGTCCTCCGAGGGGTATCCCACGAAGGTAGATTGATCGGCAAAGATGCGTGTAATCGAGAACAAGAAGGCAACGGAGATACATGAGTTAGACAGGTTCAGGCCATCAATATGACGTAATACCCAACTCTTGTGTTTTGTTGGATTGTATTGGCTATCGTATGATATTGCGTGAGTTTGGAGGGGGGTCCCTGCCCGCCTTATATAGTCCGGGGGCAGGGTTACAAGTTCGTTACATCTAGGAGATAATCGGAAAGTAATAACAGATTACAAGAATCATAGGATCATACGTATCCTAACAGATATCGTAGTATCTTCAGGATATCTTCCCAGTGTCTTGCGGGAAGCGCCGAGCAGCGTCGTGCCCCGCAAGGCTTCGTCTTGTGGGCTGGGCCGCCCCTAGGGGCGCAACCCATGTGGTATGCCGTGGGTATCCGGGGTCATACCCCCCCACAGTTCCTTTTCACCTACAAAACAGTCAAGGAATGTACTTATTACAAGCCACATAATGCAAGAAAAACAGGGAGCAGTCAATCAAAACAATGTACTAACACATTACCTTAATAGTGTGCACATCCCTTAGAGTTGAGGCATGAAGTCTCCACCTGTAGCCCTCACTCTGCTGTGAGCAGTTCACCCTATACCTCCTTGTATCACTCTTCTCAATGTCATAGTTGAACTCATGTTTAACAGCATGAGTAGCTAAAGCAATCTTAAAAGCATCCATGTCTAAATACATTGTTCCTACTGATATAGGAGTGTCCTTCTTGTCATAATCAACATCAAGCATATGTTCAGGCTCTCTATCTTTAACCATACCATCTATGTCTTCTACTTCATCATCAGAGGATTCATCATCAAAGTCTGTCTAAGAGGATTCATCAGCACCATAACTCTCACCTTCCCATTCTTTACTCCCACCTTGGCTCTGAGGATTGGGAGGAGGTGGGGGTATTGGGGACCAAGGTCAATATACAATCCTTCCTCATCAACACCCACATGCTCATTCATTGGGTTTGGGTTAGCCAGGTATTCAGGTTCAGCATATTGAGTGTGTGTGTGGCATGGCTTGGTTCTGCTAAGCTTGGACAAGCAATTAAAGGGGTGAATGGGGGTTCAACAGAGTTCACAGTGCTACCAGAATCCCAATCAGGAATCACAGGGGGCTCACTACTTGGGCTATGATATGCAACAGTCAACCAGCGGCATTTGGAAGCCTTATGTTTTGCAAATATTTCAACCAAATCTTGGTCAGTGCAGACTTGGATGTTCACTTTACTATCTATGTAGAAATAAAACAATCTCACTATGTCACCGTAGTTATAAGGATACTTGTCGACAACTTTAGCAACCAGGTCTGTGAAGTTAGTGCGGTCAGCATCCACGACTTTGTTCAACGAAAACCACTGCGCACGAGAACTGGGAGCAACAATTCGGATTTCTAAGTTGTAGCTACTTTCTGCGTCTATCCTACGGATGAACAAGGAGCACACAATCAACACTATAAACACGGGGCACAAACGCAGGGCACTAAATACCAATCAACACTACAAACACGGGGCACCACAAAACCAAGGGGGGAAGCAGTGAACTCAGTCGTCCGGAAGCCAATCCGGTCGCTCGCCCACGCCCTTGTTCCCCGCCATGCCACGCCTATCCTCTGGATCCACGGTCGAATCCACGCTCCACTACCCCATGCGCCGCCACAAGCACGGGGGATTCGTCGTCTTCTCTCCCAGCCGCCGCTACAGCCTCCGCCGTCGGATCCGCCACCGCTAGGGTTTCTCCGCCGCTAGGGTTAGGGAACTGAGGGAGTCGAGCAAAAAGAGAGAGTGAGAGACTGAGGGAGATGCCGGTCAATATCGGTCAACATAGCCTCCACATATGCCCATGATTGAAAGGGCAACATGGACATTTTTCCTGCTCGGTCCCACATGTAAGAGCTGTCAAACGGTCAAAACCAAATAGAATGGAGACGGAATGGCGTGTTGAATAAAAGAGTTTAGCGTCATGGCACCAGAGTCCGTGTGAATTTTTTGATGGTATGTAGGAATGAAGCATCTTTCATACTAACACACAGGAAAAATGTTCTTTATTTATATGGTTGAAAAAATGAGATACCTGATCAAAATCTGCGCATTCTTGTCTACTGCATGCTTGTTTCTCGACTCCAGTTAGCCTTGTCAACGCACTGATGAAGCTACCGAAAAATTGTTCGGATACTGAGTGAAGTAGCAGGCTACATAGATAAGGGAAGATGCATGTTTTTTTTTTTTGGTGTGTGTTAAAAAGAACTAAAGAATAGTAGGCTCAATTGTCAATTGGTCACAGATGCATTATGCCAAACTCATTACCACCATCAGATTATCAGAATCGATTACATTGAACTTGGGAGCAGCTTGTGCGCTAGTGAAAGGTGCCACGTGCAGCATGCAGATGGGCGGGATATTCAACATTGCATGGACTCGAATTACACACACTAGATGTCCCAGACAGGGATGGGCAGGCAGGTTCCGAACTGGTCGATCTCATGCAGATCGTCCATCTGAAACCCTCCGTTGACGCCGACGGCGCCGCCGTGGGCTCCCGCGATGTCGTTGAGGTCCGCTGCCAGCGCGTCCCAGTCGAACTTGCCGTTGCCGCCGAAGCAGCCAGCGTCGGCGGCGTCACCGTGAAAGCTGGCTTTAGCAGTGGCCGTGATGCCGTCGTCGTCGGTCTTGAGCACGCCGATCTGCTGCAAGAACTCCCTGAGGTCAAGCTGGGGCTTGTCCACGCCGGGCGGGCCGCAGGCGCCGCCCTCGCACGGCTCGGCGTCGTCGACCGTCGTCATGGAGGCCGTGGCCACCGCCTGCTCCAAGGCGTGGAAGCAGGACATGGGCGGCGGCAGAGCCGCAGGCGCGTGGGTGGTGACGGTGGAGCAGGGAGACGTGGAGGCCGCCGCCGGGAGATGATCTGACGGGGCGAGCTGGTGGGCAGGCGCCGGCAGCGGCGGCTTGGCGGGCGAGCCGTTATTCTTGAGCTCCTGCAGCCTCTGGTGGATGACATGCACGTTGTGCTGCGCGTTGAGGTTGAGCAGTCCGTAGGCCGGGACGGCGGCTGCCGCGGCGCCCCTGGCGGAGGCTGGGAGCCACCTGAGCCTCTGGTGCGCGGCGGAGGCGGCGGCGGAGACGGAGGCGCGGAGGTGCGGCAGGTTGAGGAAGGCGTCGGGCCCGTAGAGCCTGCGCGCGGCCTCGTCGTAGGCGAGCGCGGCCTCCTCGGCGGTGGCGAAGGAGCCGAGCCAGAGGCGGGTGCGCTTGTTGGGCTCGCGGATCTCAGCCACCCACTTGCCCCACGTCCGCTGGCGCACGCCACGGTACTCGCACGCCGCGTTCTGCGGGCCGCCCTTCCCCCGCGTCGGGCCCTTCTTCCACGCGCGCTTCCGGCCGTAGCTCTCCATGGAAATTGGGATCAGGTGGAGCGTGGGGGGAGTCGGAGGGAGGGAGGGTTTATTTTGAACTCCAATGCAAGCAGAAGCTAGGAGTGCAGTGAAGTGGGTGAGGAGAGTGTGACGAGGCGCGGGGGTTTAGTAGAGTAGAAGTAGAGTGGCGCTGGCGCGCGCGGGGGGGCGGGGGTGATCGGCGAGGCATGGCGTGGGTTTAAATGTTGTCACGGCCGGGAATGCATGCTCGGCGTATGTACGGCGGTGTCGTGCCTTTTCCAGACCTGTGAGCGTGAGCGTGAGCTCCCGTCGGAGGCGCCACATGTGACCGTTAGGCATCTCTAGGAATGCATGTCCAATAAGACCGATCGAGAAACCAAAACAAAGAAAATCGTCTCCTGCTGTCCAATAGTTCTGACGAACGAAGTTCTTGTTCGGTTTATCTTTAGGCTCTGTTTATGTATCTATCTATCGTCATATATATGATTTGCAATGCCCAAATTCGTCCACTTTCTAAGCATTTGAATGGAATTCATCCCCGTCTCCCTTCTCATTGTGATTTTAAATTTTCATCCTCTTAAATATCCTTTTTTTTTTGGGGTTCATATACATGATAGAAGTGATTCTTCTACTTACATTACAACATACTGACTATTTTTACTTACAAATAAATATATTGGATCTTTCGAAAAGATATAATAAATATATTGATAGATGAATAACATTTATCTTATTTGTTTGAATTGAGCAATTGTTTCTTTTTAGCTGCCTTTCAGTGATAGCTAACGTGCCTGTCGATAGTAAAACACATTTGATGACTCTGGTTCGGTCAACTTTCAATAACTTGGTTTACATCTTTTTCTCTAGTTTTATTTCCGTAAAATGAACAAATGTGGTGCGGCTGCAGATCGTACGTTCTAAGTGTTGGTGGATATGCACCGAGGAATCGAGAGGACGACGTACGGGCCGAACAAGCTAAGGCGAGCACGTTGATTCGTCGTCATGGTAATAAGAGCGGCATGAATGCGAGGTGTAAAGATCCACCTCACAGCATTCTTGGCTCTCACGAGCGTGCTCTTCACATGCTCCTCCTCCACGTCAGATGTACAGAGCATGCGATTCTGATGAGCCCTCCTCCTCTGTCTTGTGCGATCGATCTGCTTGTTTGACCGGCTCTACTACCGTGCAGCCTAGGGCAAACGCGGATAAGCATGTCCATGTGTGACACCATCTGCGTGCTCCGTGCTATAAGGCCAAGATTGGTAAATGTATATCACAAGTTCACAACATATCACATTCAGCTGTTCCTCCGGAATGCAGGCCGACATCTTGTAGTTTGCTGCCATAATATAGTACTCTCTCTTTTCGAAATTATAAGTCACTTTGACTTTTCTGGTGCATACATATATCTAGATACATAGCAAAATTGATATTTCAAAAGAAATCAAAACGACTTATAATTTGGAACGGGTGGAGTACATGTTAACCATGTAGAGTGGCAACTGATTCAAAAGAACCTACATCATCTGCTCGATTATGGTTAATTTGCTCGACAAACGAAAATAACACTGGACAACAAAAATCTGATTCTTTCTCGGTGAAAGCCAACGTAGCTTGACATTGCGATGCATGCTATCCATGTTTTTGGTAGATGAAAACGGTGCATTTCCCTTTTCTTTTTTCAGGAAATGATCTAAATTGGGCTATCAGTCAAAAGAACATTACCCAGAATGTAAGAAATATCTAGATTCCTTCCTAAGAGTATGTCAGATCTATCCTTTTTCCTGAGAGAGGGAGCAGGAGTATGTATGCCTATTCCTTACAGTTGCAATGCTGCCTGACTAAACACTTCAGGATGTTCTTGAGCAGATGTTCGGCAGCCGGGTTTCCTTTGTTTGCAGGAGACCTTGATGCCAAGGGTCATTGTACAGTTTATAATGCAATACCTGTCACAAGCATTCTTTCTCAGCAAATATGAACACAGCAGAACGGTAGTTTTTGGGTTGAAAAGGGGTATATCAGAGACAGTGACACGTGGCCAAGCACAATTCTGGTAACACTAATTTTTTTTATGACTCACCAAAGCTTTCTACTGGGATAATGCAAATATTATTTCATTTCTAGCGAACAGAAGATGCTAAGTAGTAAGTATGATAACATCCAGACCACACAATAGGTTGAGGAGCAGGTCTACCTGTATAAATGTTGCAAAGGCATCGTCATCGTCAGGTAGTTTTGAGACCTCAACAGACCAGGGTGCCTCTTCAGAGAACAGTCTTTTCTGTCTCTGCGCCTCTAACAATATAGAGTCTCGATAGAAAAACCTCTGCCACATCTGGCGGACATTTCCCAGCATGAACTCTACTTGTGTATCATTTAGTCCCTAGTGACATGGAAATGGTAAGCATTCTGCAGGCGGTATGTCCAAAAGATAAAAAAAAAAGCAGAAACAGAGTAAAAACATACTCGAAGTGTACTTATGAGGCCTGGAATGTCATCTTCTTGTATGCGCACTGCAAAACTATTGTAGTTGAGCACATTCTCATATGGCAGAAAAATTCCATCCTACAATGTAAGCCAAGAGGGCAGATAGGTTCGAGTAAGACATCACACGATGGTCCCTCTCTTGATATGCAGCACAAGGAAAATGATGGTGTATCACCTGAATTATTACAGGAATGCATCCTTGAAGCATGCTGTCTTCCATACGCCCACTCCAGCCATCCCCTGGCAGGACACCACAAAAAACGGAGCTTGCTAGTTCTTCATAATATTTCTCAGTTCGTAAATAGGTAACTGTCACATCGGCTGCATGCTGTCGTCCAAGGCTTCCCTGCTTGTTTGGTATGGAACCAAATTCAGCTGCTAGCTTTTGTCGAATCCCCATGCTATACCTGCATTATACAATCGAAAAAGATTGACAAATAATTATGTAACACATTCACACTCACAAATACATAGATACATACGTGTCTTCTGGGCGGCCTCCTTCGTATGCTGAACCTAGATTACCGTTGAAATAAAAGAGTGTTGTACGGTTCTTCCTAGGCCTGCAAAAGTTGTGTTCCCTGGTCTAAGGTTCTGAGGAACATAAATAGTTGATAGGATATATAGTTAACTTTAAGAATACCTTGCCCACAGTTTTAACCATATGGCCCCTGGGTTAGGTTCCTTCCATGCCGGAAGCACTAGATCCTTTCTTGGATCAAAACATGGATGGTTGCCTCTCTTATCCAAAGGAATATCATCCCAGTTGTCTGCCCAATAAGCAGTCGTTGAATTCTTATGTTTTGTATTAGTGTTTCCCCAGTGGACAAGCATCATGCTCTTCCAGATCTCTTTTGGAGCATAGCAGGCACCTTCATCCCACGAAAAGAACTGCCTTTATGTAAGTTGAAAGGCAATCAGTCATTGCCACTATTGAATAAGAACCAAAGAATCATTATACAACTATAATTCATTCAAATATGAAACCCACCCAGATATGGTCTCTTCCTGAAGTGCGATTCCAGTAAGGATACAGCTGAGCTATGTGATCATATGCCATTCTATAGTACTCAAGTGCATTGTAGCTCCTTCGGCGCAGGTCCCTCTAAAATTAAAACTCAAATTACTGGAGGAGCACATCAAGACCATCGAAGAACATATGGATCACAATTCTTACCGGCAATAGCAGATGTGGAGCATCATCAGATCTAGTTATTAGACATGAGTCAAGCACTGGCACATAGAAATAATCAGCTTTGTCCCCATTAAGAGTGCGGTGAGGGCTAGCAAGAATGCTCTCATAGAGTGCTATCTACATAAAAAATAAAACATTGGTCAGATTTGCTTGTCCTCGTAAATAAATATCACTGTGAGCATGTAGTCATGGAGCAACAAACGTTAAGCTATCTGCTAGCAGCTAAAATTAGCAAACCTGAGCACCATACAATTGCTGGGTCCATAGAGTTCTGTTCTTGTCATCATATATTCTGTTTACACACTGGAATCTGTAATGTCGTCCCTGAGAGAGAAAAAAATATTAATCTCAATGCTGCAGTAAAGCTTCATGAACACAAAAAGGAATATTTATGACACAGGCTTACTTCAAGAAGATGACTGTCAAACTCAGCTGGCAAATCATATACATATATGAGTGGCCTTTTTTCTGAACAACGGCCTTAACATCGATGGTGGTACTGTTTAAAATTTTCAGATCTGGTAAATTCACTGGTGTCTGGAGCCACGGGGGCCAATCATATGCAAGCGAATATGCTGATGGGATACTGCAATCAATCCCAAAATATCCACTGTAACACTAAAGGAGATACTCAATGAGACTACATCTTATAAAAGTGAAAAAATAAAAAACAATGCACCGCATTAAATTTAACCAAAGTAATTTCATTTCATTAACTAAATCGTTTTCTCTGAAACATACTTGACAGAAACCACCACGGCAATGCCCATGTCCAGAGCACTGGTTGACGCAGCTGCATTCAACACGAGTCTCACAAAACTGCCCCCAGAGACCATCGTATTTGCAATCACATTCTTCTTTAAACTTCACTTTGGATGAATATGCATCCTCAGGGACCACATTACACCATCCTAACTTACTGCTGTTTGTTGTGAATATGTTTTCCAGGTCGGGTGTTTTCCAATCGGTAAGCTTTGGATCACCACGTTTTGCAGGTAAACTAGAAAGATGGATAAGAGAAGCTTAGTAGTAATATTAAAGTAACCCAAAAACAAATTATCAGATTATCAGTGATAGTCTTACATTGTTTTAAAACCACAAGCTTCTGCCACAGGACGATCTGGGTATTTTGTTCCAGGCCCACAAAAGCACATTGCCCTTGTTTTGTCACAGTGAGCTGCACAGGTGGAAACTATCCATAGACCTACTGGCCATTCTGGGGAACTTGGGAGGTTGCATTCCAATTTCTGAACCTCCTCACATCCTTTCCCTGTATCAGTGAAGCCATAGATTAGGAATACAGCACTACAAATTTAAATGTTATTGGAATCCAGAAAAGCAACATATATCAACATTAGCAAGGGAAAATATATATGCCACCTTTCTACAGTCCGTACACTCATGTTCTTTCATTTTTAAACGAAATTTGTTTTTTAGTAAACCAAAAACCATAGAAAGAAATATATGTCCATAAACAAGGTTATAATCACATAAGTGAACAACAACCAGTAGCTGTTTAACGCAGTAGTTCAGTTCCCGTTTCGCCTAGGTTACATACTCACAGAGATCAAATCCAACAACACCTTTGTAGTAAAAAAAAAGCATACAAGTTTTCAATACTGCAATTCTTAATCCATGAGTCCATATACAATAAACTGAATGGTCTATATTCTTTCAGGCATACAAACTACACGTTCTATGTTCTTTCAGGAATGCAAGTATGATACAGATGAAAGGAGATATACTGAGCGTACTCTGAGATGAAATTATACAAGATTTGTGAAGAAAAAAATGCTGTCTACATGGTTAGGGAGACATTTGTAGGTTGCATCGCTGTATCCAATATAAGAATCCACGATTAGTTCTTTGTGGTACCTAACTCTATTAAATGATATCATTACCTATTTTTTTGTTTAGCGCTAGTCTTAAGTTCTTAAAAGCCAGCCCTTCCAGATCGTAAGAACTATTGAATTATTAGTGCATAGACTCTTATTAACAGAAAGTGAATACTGAGAAGTAAGACCAACCAGAATATCCATGAAAGCATCTGCACTCTCCCAGATTATAGTTGCAAACACCACGACCACTGCAGTCTTTCTCACAGCGCTTTGCACCTATAGCCTGTCGCAAAAGAGCAACCTAAATTAACCCCATAAAAAGCTAAGTCAAAGCGCACGAACCAGTGACAAGGGTGGGTGCAAACCTCAGTAACATCAACAGACGAAGAGTTAGCATGACACCCGGCAAGCCATCTACCAATCTCAGCCTTCCATGGCGCGCCACGGAATGCCACAGCACCATATGAATCAGAAGGGAAGCGCCCCCTGAGACGAGAGTCCACCACCCCGACGTCCGGGAGAACATTCTTTGGGTGGCTTATACTGCTGCGAGCACCGAAGTAATCCAAGGAGGCAGGAAGGATTGGCACCATGAACACATGGACGGCGGTGACAAGCACCACCAGGGCGCCGGCAACGCCCACAAATGCCACAGGGCATTTCGTCGAACGGATTGCGAGCATGGTCAAACTATCATCCGGGCATCAAGCAGAGATGGCCTTGCCGTGCTGCCGGCGTCGATGATGACGCCGTAGGTTGAAGGAGCCAGGCGGGGGTGGGATCAGGGCAAGCACGGCTGCACGTACGCGGTGAGGTGCGTGAGGCCTCCGGCGAAGCGGCGGCCGGCGGGAGCTGAGCAGGATCAGGCAGAGGCGGCGGCGGCTCACAGGCCTGACAAGGATCAACTATTCGATGGAGGCGCGAGGCGTCGCAATCGTTGGAAATGGTGCTCATTCAAGGTCGGAGTGGATCTTGGAGAAATGGTGTTGGGGTCCGACAAAGAACCCATGAAATAGAAGGATTCGGAGTGAGGACATCTTGTAAACGGAGAACAGTAGGATGCTCCATCATTAAATAACGGATTTTGCCTTTGATCTTTTATAAGAGCCTGTCTTCAATGACAGGTGGGCCGGGTCCCATCTGTCATCCAATCAATCGCTAAAATAGCAAAATGAGGTTTGAGATCTAGGAGTATGTGTATGTTTGTAACCTTATTAATAAGAGTACCTCCACCAGCAGGCCTCAAATTAGGATTATATTTGAGGACCTCCTCCTTTCATGACTATTTTTTAGACTTAACTCCAACTAAGGTCCTTAAACTAGGGTTTTTATTTATTTTTCTCCTCCTTTTTCACACTACTCCCTCCGTTCCAAATTATATGATATTTTGGCATTTATAGATACATTTTTTTTTGCTATGCACTTAGATATATACTATTTTTATATATGCATTCCCTCAATTCCAAATTATAAATTGTTCTAGTTTTTTTTTTATACGTAACTTTTGTTATGCATCTAAATATACATTATGTCTAGATATGTAGTAGAAACTATGTATCTAGAAAAGTTAGAACAATTTACAATTTGGATGTAGGGGGTACTAATAGTAAAAAGGACAATGTATCTAGAAAAACAAAATGTCATAGGGTACTTTTTTATTCTCTTTTTATGACACAATATAAATTCAAACTACATATTAGTTCATACAGATGGTAAATATTGAATTCACAAATTCAAACATGACAATTTAAATTAAAATCTAAAATAAAGTGTCGTCATCAAAACAAATACACCTAGAGCTATATGTTAGATGCACCACAAGATCATCTCAAAAGCCTCTTAATGTGCATGCTTGTCTTCAATCTCTTTATGTATTAAGAAACAATGACAACACAAAAGTGGATCAAAGCGTTGATACTTCCCCCTTAGCACCTCACCACCATCTTGATCGTAGAAGTAGCATTCAAATGTTGCAAAATTGACATAGCAATTTCTAATCAAATTCACGATTGATGCTCAATATGCATAACCAAATTCATTTTTGACAATTCATTTAAATCTTGAGAACAAGCATTGGCATGTGGATGGTACGGGCCATGCAACATGAGAGTGTTTGCATGCAGTGCGGGAGAAGGTAGAGAAACCCCCTTTGAAAAACGCGAAAGAAATCACAGGAGGCAGTGCCAGGGATGGATTGACATATGTTTTTAAGGATGAAGGTCATGATTGATAACCTTATAATGAAGCATCATACAACCAAGTGTCAATAAAGTAAGCAACATAGATTTGATTAATTGCTAGCAGCTAAGGACTAAACATAGTTGGGAGGTTCGCCTACATCCGGATGTGATTCTGTATCGTCATTACTCATTACATACATACATAGCTAAAGCATGCATCAATTACGCTCTATGGAACATTGGAAAACTATGGCAACGTTAGTGTTTGGGGGTAATTTGGACTTTTTTCCTTTTTAATACGAACCATTCATGAGTGCCTAGAGTCGACCAATCCTAAATTGTAAATGAGTTACAAAGAATATATTGCACTTAGAAACAAGTGGCCAATTATCAATCTTAACTAGGTGATATCTCCTCGTGTTGCTGTAGAGACTTTAAAGTAATTTTAAATGATCTCTCTATGAAGGAAGATGTTATAAACGCAATTCAATTCGAGTGTTGTATGAGTGAATCAAGACCAATATAAGTTCATGATGACAGCGACTATTGCAATGCCCTAAAAATCCATGATGCATTGTGCATTGATTTCAACTACTTATCACATCCAACCGGAGTGCCACTCAACATTGTTCACTTATGATGTGGTTAAATGTGTTGTGGCTTAGGCAAGAGAAGTGGAGGTTTAGATGAACGTCCAGATTTAACTTGGAGCATATGATTGCATGGCTGTTAAATTGAGATGATCCGGCTCAACATGGTTGTAGCTTTATAGCAATTAATTACCTAGTGGTTTCAGCTTATTGAGTAGATATACAGATATAGATTTACGAACTATTTCGCCATCGTTGATGAAAAAACGAGTTCCTGGCCTTGTCGAATAACACGTCATGGAGGATCAAGGAACCGCTCAATGCAACCCAGATTATGTGCTTGGGATGTGTGCCAACTCCTGGTGAGTGATCTTAAGAAAAGTAACTTAGAAATTAGGACTGTTAAACCTTTCAATGCAAATCAAGTTTGTCACATACCAGCTGAAGACTAATAAAAAATTGTAAGTTCTTCTTCACAAAAAAAAAGTAAGTTCTGGAAGAGATTTCAGAATTCTTGCTTGTGGCATTTCCTTACAGACCACTGAATCCGCATTGTTATAACTTAGGGCTACAATCCTTGTGCCAAAATTTGTGAAATTACAATTGAAGGAATATAAACAACATCAGCAATTCGGCAAGCACAAACCAGTATAATTAAGAACAGTAAACCTTCATGAATTAAGAAATAGACCATCGACTTATATCACCTCATGGAATGTATAGACTGCACTTCAAACATTTCTGGTCAGTCTGTAGTTTTGAACTGCTAGGTAGTAGTTGAGGGCAACAACATTCAAACAAATCATTGAATTGTATAACCTTAGTATATCAATTCAAGAGACAAAAATGCAGTTTGTTTGGACAAACAACGAAGCAGCAGAAAAGTGTTTTGCTATATCTCGAATTATACATATGGAAAAGACTCTTTCAACCTGTACTATACATGTTTTTTTTTTACTTCCCAGATAGGGTACCCATCAAATGAATCAATTAAATAGGAACTCAGAATATTTGGAAATGAATGAAGTAACGGATTCTAGCTACATCAAGTGTTGCTCGTTAAAACTTTGTAGTGTTATGATGCTACTCCACAAGGAAAGTGCAGGGCTTCAAGAACCAAAACATGCTGCTGGAGCTCCCTTCTGCATCACATGCTCTTGTATTGTTCATATCCTTAACCCCAAAGGGTTGCCTCACACCATCTTTTTTGCTCTCCAGATCCTTACTAGGGGTCCCCTTCTCCTAAAGAAAAGGAAATTACAGTATAATTATATAACTCTGTGATCAACTTCAGATAAATACCTCATTGGTAATGGTTGGGCACAACAGCCCTAAAACTATACAATCACTGTGTTTGCCTTTTGTACAGTACAAAAAGATGAGTTCAACTATGAGATGCACAAGCATCTATGATATGATCATCCACAATGAACATAAGATAAGTTGAAAAAACTATTTGACACTATCCACTATGAGGTTTACAATGAATACCAGGTTATGAACAAGCATCATTATTAGGATTTATAGAAAATATGCCTTGCCATATAATTAGTACATTCGGTAACATCTCCTCATGACCTGTGCTAAATGATGCTAAATATGAAAGGACGCTACTTCTATATAAAAACATCTCAGATGCATGATCAAACTTACTGAAATTGGTTGAGAAAACACATGACCTTTATTAATCTTTCACATGGTTCAACAAGTTTAGTTTGTGAAGTATGGTGAACTGGGGTGATGCTAATTTAGCTCATCGTAGGATTTATTAAATCATCATGGGAAGAAGCAGTCGTAACAAATCTTTTATTTTAGAGCAGAAGTCACTCTAGTATATTCTTCCATACTAAGATCTACAAAAGTGGGCCATGCTTTTTGTGAACATTACATGCCCTTGAAGAATTTGAAGTCCCAGAAATGAAGACAGTGAAAATCAAGTAAACACCATGATTTAAAGCCACGGACACTGAGTAAGCAAATACTATAGCCATGCTGGATTCACCTTGAGTGGCTTCTTGAGTGGCGATCCTGCTGTGGCCACCCCTCCAGGTTTAACATTCTTAATGCGGTTTGGCGATGGGGATGGAAACCGCTGCGGAGTGGGCGGTGTTGCCTTCACTTCCTTCAGCACAGAGGGAGATCTTTGCTTCCCTGCTTCCACCTTCAGCCCCACTTTCTTTCCCTTCCTGCAGAAACCAACATCAGCGCCGTAAGAAACAATCAGTACAACCTATACACATAAGTTTGCATTGGGATGACTATTTGCAAATTACATTGGGCTTGGACTCTTTTTCACTGTTTCTTGTCTCGCCACCTCCTTCACGGTATCTGCGGGAACTGGATTGCTGACGCTGGCATCAGGAGCCACCTTCTCCATCAAATCGCTCGGATTCCTGCACGAATGAAACTGTCAAGGGCCTCATAGAGACAACCCGACAATTGAATTCCAGCATTCCTTCGATGAGGAGAGGTTTATACATTGGGTTTGAGCTGTATTCCTCCTGTGTGTCTGTGCCAGGCCGGCCGCCTCCAACCATCCGCTTCAGCTCATCGTAGAACTCCGAAATCTGACCAAGTATATCCTTCCCAGCGAAGAGATTCCTCGCTGAGAGGGTGCTCTTGAGCTGCCTCGGCGGGGCGTACTTGTTGAGCAGCGCCTCCTTCTCAGCGTTATCCGGCCGCTTCTCCGCACTGGACTTGATGGCCTCCTTGGCATTCTTGTTCCACCGAGGGGCACCGAACGGCGGCCTACTCGGCGCCTGCCGTGGGGGTGGCGTGGCCAGCGCAGGGTCCTGGTTCTCGCTGTCTTCCTGGAACCTCTTCTTGGGCGCTGCCTTTGGCTTCGGCGGCGTGGAGGAGGTAACGGTGCCGCCGCCCCGCCACTTGAGATTGCTACTGCCGTCCCTGAGCAACGCACGAAGGGGGGTGAGAACGGGATTTGATCGAGGCGGGCGCGGCGCGCAAGGAAGACCTGGATTTGAATGGTTACCTGAGGCTGGTGGTGTTGGCGTCCCTTTCGGCGAAGGGCAGCATGGCCGAAACCGATCGCAGCAGCTTGCCCTGTTCCGATGAAGAAGAAGAAGCGTGAGATGAGGGTTCAGGTAACCAGTGGAAGAAAAAGGACCGCAAGGAACGGCGAAACAAGGCAGACCTTGGGGCTGGGGCTCAGCTTGAGGAAATCCTCGGCCGTCTTCGGATGCCGGCAATCTGCAGCGCCGCAAATCAATAGATCAGCACCCGCTCGTTTAGAAGCAAAGTTCCAATGTCGCAAGAGAATCCATCCCCAAGGAAGAAAGCAAGAACCGGGCCCCTTCCTTGACTCGCCGATCAGCGCGCACTGCTTTGATTTGATCTCCTCGCGATCAAGCGGGGCCAACCAACAGGAGCACCGAGCACGAGCACGAGCACCGCCCGCGCGCGCGCCTGCGAGGGAGGAGCCAAGAAGAGAGTGGGAGGGAAGGAAGAGCAAGCGTACCGGGGCGGCAGAACCAGGCCTCGTCGTCGACGTCGGCGCGGCCGGCGTTGGGGTCGGTGAGGTCGGCCCAGTGCGGAGCCTCGATGCCCTCGTAGGTCTCGTCGCGCACGTACCGCGACACCACCCTGCTCCAGTCGATGTCCTTGGGCTCCATGAACTCCATCCCGCCCTCCCGCGCGGCGCGGTGGAGGAGAAGCCCCGAGCGATGGAAAGAGAGGGAGAAGGGAGGGAGAAGGTTGGGTTCCGGTTGCTTGGTCGCGGCTCCTCTTTTGTCGCGCTCGTGAGCAGTCGTGTGAGATGTGCGGGGGCAGTGGCGAGGCGAGCCGTTGCGCGTGTTATGAGCAGAGCCGAGGGAAAGGGGAAGAGAAGACTCCACCCGCCGACCCGGCCCGTTGGTTCCCGGCCAATTTTCCGACCGTTGGAGGTCATCGATACTACAATAATGGTGGTGACTCACTGAAAGCGGGCCCCACTTTGACCCTTGCGACACGACCAGAGGTACTCACTGTCACTGGCACATGAGCGTACTCACTGGCAGTGGGAGCAATAGCAAGGCTTGGAGCACGGGACATGGCACAGAATGGTCAAACCATCGGATTCTGTGTCTATGGAACGTTCCGCTTCACAACCATCGAGGAAATAGTTTACCCTACACAACCCATCTTGGAAATAGTTTTGGGCCGCAGGCATCACGCCGTCACCTGAGATGTGACATAGTAGATCTACAGCAGATAGAAATGTACTCCCGTCCCACAATACTTAATACTAGTGGTTATAGGAAATCATGCTGAATTTGTTATCGAATGAATTTCGTTTTATTTGGTATTTAATGCTCAATCAAACGGTGTGACTACCAATGATTATGGCAAAACTTTTTGCACCTAAACAAGGGCATGCCCCCTTTTTTCACTCTCTCCAGTCCTCCTCCATCCCCACACGTTATTTCCTCTAGATAAAAATTAACTAATTACCGCTTTATGAGATTTAATCTTTTGAGCCTAGTTAGCTCGATTGGACAATAATTGTCAAATACAAACGAAAGTGCTATAGTATCAAATACCGATTCCCAACCATTCTAAACAAGGCATAGATTTGTGTCTCCCCACGCCCACGCGTGACATAGTAGGGAGGCGTCGAAATGGAGAAGAGGAGAGTACTTAATACTAGTTGTTCTAGGAAACGGCGTGACCGTTATGGCAAAAGACGCATGCCCTGGACTGAGGCGGCGTTCCGCTTTGCTCGGATCCGGCGGTTGGCGGTGCGCACGCACTAGAGGTACCGCTGGTGGAGAAGAGGAGAGCGCCAGTGTTGGTGGCGCCTCCTCCTTGCCCGGCCAGGAGCGCCGCTTAGATGGAGGTTGGCGGGTGTGGAGCACCGATCTCCTCGGTCACGCTTCTCCTGAGGTTGCGGCGACCTCGGATCTCGCTAGGCGTTGACCTCGGATCTGGATCTGTCGCGGTGGATGGGGAAGAAGGAAGGCGGCGGCGCCGCTCGAATCGCCCGCTCAGCGGCGGCTGCTCCACCTCCGCTCCAGATCGGCTGCTCGGGGACGACCACTCCGCCTCGACCACTGCTCCGTGTGGGAAGAGGACGGGTGCGGCGACGATGGTGGGATGGAATCGCAAGCACCACGCCAGGGATGGGATGGAAAGGATAAAGCCTCCTCCCAACCGTCTGTTTTTTTTTCCATTTTTTATTCATAGCAGTGAGCAATGGAGGATATAGAGATGATGGATGGGGTCGGTACATAGAGTGGGACCCACCCTATACAAGCTAAAACGTCTTTCTTTGTGGTACTTTTTTTAATGCTAAAAACGTCCTCTATTAAGGGACAGAGGGAGTACTCAAAGATATCAAGGCCACCAGATATTAAGTGAAAGTACTCAAAGATAGAGATATCAGTATTTCATTGTGCAGTACTGCAGTCAAGTGAATGGCAGTTAAGTATCCAACAGCAGAATGATCGGTTGGAAAAGGGGACTAGACAGATGACTTTCACCGTTCCCACAATATTGTCCCTGATAATATTAAGCAGCAGCAGCCTAGGAAACACGAAAGGGTCATGCCTATCATAAATGGGATGTTGTCAACATACACGAAGCTGTTGGCCAGTCTACAGCAATTTCAGAGTTTGATGATCCATCGCCGTCGTAGTAGTGCGCCTACTGGCAAGGGCAAAATCATCTACGACGAAACCCAGCTGCGCCCACCAGCACTGCAGTCTGGGGTGGGGTGGGGTGGGGGGGGGGGGGGGGGGGGGTGGGGTTAAGAGGCAATGTTGGATGTGTGCTTATGTTGGTTGGGGCAGCGGGTTGGTCTTCAACCACAAGGACCGCCCTAGCATGGCTCTACCATGAACAGCCATGTATGAAGCATTCAGCCTAAGATTGCAGGAGAAAGAGGACCATAGATTAGAAAACATCTCTACAGAAACAACAGTGTGAAGAGCAATGTGACTGATCTTACTTGTCGACATCAGGTATGTTCATTGGATCATATGGCTCCTCTTTTTGTTCCATGCTTGGATGGCTACCAGCAACAGAAGCAGCATCAACACCTCCCTCAACCTGCAAGATTGTGAGATTTGTCAAATATGGAGAACAGATTTTGGCCAGACACGAATAGCATGATATCATCTGTGCACTATGAAACATGAAAGATCATGGGAGAGTTATGCACCACAAATCACTTCCTTACAATGGGAGCACGTACAGGGCCTGTACAAACACTTCCAAGATATCTTAGCAGGAAATAGAACAAGACAAAATAATTCAGTAAATGAACATTCTACAGGCCCAAAATCTATTCTTCAGCTATTCAATATGGTGGATTACATAATTCACAAGGATGCAATTTTCTACGTCTGGTTTAACGAAAGCCTGCATTGTATGGTAACATAACTCAGCAGGAATTTAAGAAACTAACAAGCTTCAGGTGTCCACATCCACAACTTACTGATGAACGTGCAAGTGTACAGCAGACACTCGGAATTAATATATATAATAATAATGTATATGTGGATGGAAATCCTTACCTGTTGGGGATATTGGCTATATCCTGCATAAGCACCATACGCGTATGACGGATCCTGAGCATATCCATATGCATCATACCCATAGCCATAGTAAGTGCTTGCCCACTGATTCGGATCTGTTTGCTGACTCCACACAGCTGATGGATCCTGCATATATTATTTCATGCGATAATAGATAACAAACATTAGCTACCATTAGAAGAGATTCCAGTAGGTAAAAAATACAGAAGATACGATAATAACAAGAAAACAAATGAAAATTCAGGGAGAGTTATAAGAAAAATGAACAAATACCGCTGACAAACTAATACCATATCAAACAAGCAATCCCCTATCAGGCTATCTACCCAAAACAGCATAAGAATACTATCATGTGGCTCTCACTAATTCTCAATTCCAAGTGTTAGTACCGAGTAAAATCTTCCTTAACATGCTTATTGGTGCAAAACAGCCCCACATCAACATAACGGCATCCACTTGATTTCACCAGGTATAAGGCCGAAGAGATTTATTGAATGCTATAGGTTAGGTTTATGCAGTAAAATTTTATAAGATATACCTGTTTACTTGCAGGACTTCGGCCCCATGAAAGCCGAACAGCTTGTTGGCCAATCATTGTGCCATGAAGACGTTGTACTGCCTCTTCAGCTGATGCCCTGCAATGGTTACAATCGGCAATGGTAAACACCCTACCTTTTCATTACTAAGAAAACTTAGATGCTAGTAAAGAGATGTGCCATCAATAAATACATCTACTTTTGCAGGGGAGCAATATATGAAAAAAAATACAATAGACATATCCATGTGACATTAATTGTAAAAATTCTCTTCTTGTCTGCTGAGATTTCAATGGAAAGAAATGGTAATACTGCATCGAAATGTTCTTAGTTCTTCTTGTAAAGCATACATGTCCCTAACATCCCACTACAGGCATACTTATTTCAGGATGTTATGACATTTGGATTTTGGGCAAGTCCTGATATGGATAACTAAACTAGACAACGTAAAGCATCGGGCAACTATTACACTTAAATGAAATTTTCCTATAGCACTTACCTAGATGCATACTGTACAAATCCACATCCTTTACCAACAGGAATTTTCACATATATAAGCTCTCCAAACTGTACACATATCTGCCTCAGCTCATCTTCTGTCACATTTGGATCCAAGTTCCCAATAAATATCTGTAAACGTATGATATATCCCAAGGTAAGTGGTATAGTCAACACTCAACAGAGTAACAGACAGAAATATGGTAGAGATCCATACGGTAGTGTTTGTAGGTTCACTGTCAGGGAGAACTGCCTGGGGCTGAGGCATTGCATAAGCTGTTGCTGGATACACCGCTACACATTAACATAAGACAGCTATAATAAATCCACGAAAAGAAACATCAAGAAAATGAAGAATCCCATACAAACAACACAGTACATTCAGATCATCCAATATTACCTTTAGCAGCTGAATACTGAAGCTGAGAGCCAGTGGATTTCTTAGGTATTGCAGCACTTATCCGCATAGGTCTTGTTGAACAGTACACACCATTCATTTCTGTCATTGCACGGTTCTTTTCATTTTCATCTGCGAACTTTACAAATCCATATCCTTTAGATCTCCCGGTATTTGGATCTGTGACAACCTTAGCCCCTCTAACAGATGGATAGTTCACTCGGAATGTCTCCTGTAGTAAGTAATCTGTGACATCAGGTGCCAGGTCCCCTACGAAAATCGAATGATCAGATCCTGAATCAGGACGCCTCTCACCAGAGCTGAAAGAGGCCCAATTCAATCTGAATGTGTGTTCAGTTCCAGGCATCTGTGTGCCATTGTAAGTCTGGAGAATTTTCTCAGCAGCTTCATGCGAAACAAACTCTATAAACCCATAACCCTCTGGAAGGCTTGTTACTTTGTTGCGTATTATTTTAACAGATTGTACCTGCACTTCCAGGAAATAAAGGTCTTAAACACAATGAGTTCAAAATGTACTCTCCAGTGCTCAACGCTTAATAAGAAAAAGACTCTACAACACAAACTATGCTTAAAAGTATAGTAATAGTTCTGATGTTCAGATAAAGTTGAAAGTGTTATATTCTAAAAAAACATACTTCTATCATCAGCTCAGTGCCCCCCCACACACACACAAATAAAAAAAAATGTAGCAACCCAGTCATAGATCAGACATGCAGCTACAAAATGGTTGCTGTATAAACTCAAACAGCTGTCAAGGAATATTTTATACACAACTTTTTCTGTACTGAAGTACCCGATACTTAAATAAATCATTTTCTTAATTTTCAGAAACTATCAAACTATGAATAATCCTACCAATGCTGCTTCAAACAAGCCCAAAACAGTGCAATGCTTTACTACAATATCCCTAAAAGACTCATTGATATAGATAAATAGGCCTAGAACATTACATTCACCTACATGCAAAAATAACAAGCTACAAGCCTACAACTGCAGATGCGACGACATATTCCAAAAGGCCTGCGTGGATACCTTCACTTTCTCAGGTAATTTTATCTGTCGAACTACACACACTTTTACATCAACTGGGTGAAGTATTTTACGCCCAGATATGCCTGGACAATATTCATGAACAACCGTGTTGCTACTTTCACTAGAGGCCCATCCGTTGATGCAAGAGGAAGCATGTGACCGCTTCAATTCACAATTGTTTGGGTCAAATTTTCAAAACTAAGAGGCTGGCTCCACAAGCCACAACCCTAAGACCATGAAACCCTTACATTGCTCCCAAAAAAAAACACGCATAAGGGCACGGTTGTCAACCTATGTATCTACCCTAGAGCCCCGAAAGAATAGCAGCCACTAGCCCACCACAAATGGGCAAGTCGACCTCGATGCATCCAAAAGGCGAGAGCTACCTTGAAGTACCAACTCTCCTGAATTCACCCAATCCGCAGCAACGCAACCGCTCAATCAGACATTGAGACTGACAAACCCAGCTTAAAATCACCGAATTACGACGGCAACCAAACGAACCCTATAGAGAAAATCTGCCTAATCGGCGCGCAAGGCACGGTCATGGGGGGCACAGGTCGAAGGACGTCGCCTACCTCCCCGGTGTGGGCGAAGCAGCTGTAGAGGTAGTTCTCGTCGGTCCAGTACTGGAGGTCGCCGATCCACAGCGTCCGGACCTCCTCTAGGCTCGTCGGCTGGTGATACGGCGCCGCCATCGAGCGGCGCGAGGCTGCTTGGGGGTCGGAGGCGCGGCTGGGACGAAGACGGAGGACGGGTTGGGGTTACCGGGTTAGTGCGGCCGCTTGAGCGTGCTCGTCTTCGTTCCCTTCGACGGTTCGACCTGTTGTTGCTTCTGGAGCTCACGTGTTTTGGGGCCTTTTTCAGCCCATATTTGGGTGGGCTAGTCGTCAGTTAATGATCCAGTGGGTAGGATCGATTTGGCCCTATTCTGTTTTTAAAGATAGACGAAATCTCTCCCTCAATTCACTCAAAAAAAAAAGAAGAAGGAAATTTCTCCATCAAAACTTTATAGCATCTTGCTTAAAAAAAAAAACTTTATAGCATCTTCAACAGTGCCCCCCTAAAACTTTCTAAGGATGGCTCCCCTACATTCTGGGGTTCTATTTTTAGCATTCAACTTCACTAAGAGCCCGTATTTCATTTTGTCAGATTTTTTAATATAATTTTTATGTATATCATTCGTATCACATCACTGGAATTCATAATTCAAACTTACGACCCGTTTGGTTGCGCTCCCAGCCGCTGGCTGCCTACCAAATCACTGCTGCGCACTGTTCAATATTGTAGAGAGGGGAAACGGCTCCGATAAAAAAAAACTATAAAAGGGAGGAGCTAGAAGAACTGTAGTTTTGGGGCTCCGGCTGACCACGCTACAGTTTTGAAGACGCCAGAAGAAGTCTCTCCAAACAAGCCTTAAAATGTTTATAAAAAATTGAAATGAACTGTATTCAAATTTATGATTTCAAATAAGACAATTGAAATCTAAATTTATTCAAACATAAAAATCATAGTCATATAAAAAATGTCTATCACGCGACGTAGTGCTTGTGGCATTAAAGTGATCAACAACATTTTTCAATACGATTATTTTAAATTGTCTTTCATAATGGCATGGATGATTAATTTAGACATGATTCTGAAGGATTATATTTTATTTATTTTTAATAATGGCAATGGTGGATAAACTTTGATAAAACATATAGATACAATGATGATTTTACTAAATTAAAGGCTAGATGTTCCTGATTTCGATAATATTTTTTGAAATTTTTACACTTTTTCTCTAAAGCATCTCGGGAGGATTTAGGATTTTAATAACGTAGAGGTGGAGCCTCTAATCTAATTATTAGTTATAAAAGGTTGCATTGTGGGCCTCGTCCAACCAAACACAAGTAACGGTACCTCTTTCCCCCTGATTTGATTACGTTACAAAACGCTGAACCAAACACTAAATACATCTGATAATAACCTATATTTGGTAATATGGTGCTAATACACAATTCTAAAGAAGGGACAATAAGCTGCCTTCACGCAGAAATCATGCATCCATTGCGGGCAGTACTCACTACTCAGCTTCAAAGCGCAACGACTTCATAGCGGCCTCATAACTGATAACTCATTGCCTCTTAGGTTCGTCGCCAGGAACTTCAGCAAAGCAAACAGGGCATGCCTGCGAAAGGAATGCACTTTCATTAAGCGAAAGAAGCACAGGAAAGAAATTAAAAGTAGGCGTCTCGCCAATATTTGGTTGCTGACCTTGTTTATGCTAAGCCATCTTGTCACGCAGCTGGCATGGTATACATGCTTGCATGGAAGTGTCATCTGCAAATTTCCTCTCCTGTACTCCATTTGGCAAATCACACACCTGACACCCAAAGGAAAGTCCTGCGGTTAACTTCATGTCCATTGAAGAAGCCGTACAAAGTTGTTGCAAATAATTGCATACACTGCTCCACTATGATAAGCAAGGATCATATTTTTACATCAAACATATAATGATGCAGCATATTATAATCTGACCTTTCACGCCGTGTTTTCTTCCTTGAAAAGAAACCACACTTGTACTTCGTGACAGGAAGCGACGAAATGCGTTCTTGGGAGAGACCACGGCTCTGGGTTCCAACTACCTCACCCAAATCCAACAGTTCCTGTCAACAAAACTTGTTAGTTATGGAATTTTTGAAGTAATCAAACGAGAGAACAAAATTGATATATGTACACTAGAAATGAAATACTTGAAGAACTTAGCAAAAAAGAACGGTTAGCAGAAATATAGCTCAACCATTGACACCATACTGTTATATCAACTGTTCCATTGCATGAACAAAGAGAAGCAACACATTTAGGCAATCCTGACAAGGAGTTTTTCAGATAAACGAACCAAAAAAGACATGATTGTTCAATTAAAAACTAAAAATGTTTTTTTTCACCTTAAATGTTAAGCAATGAAGAGGGTTTGGGGAAGTCTATCAATATAGACCAGCCAGGGATCATGTCACGTACAGCCATACTGGCTACTAGACATTGCTTCGTTTCATATTTCCACATATAAATAACAGATTTGCAACTACTGGTTCGTAACCATCCATATAACTCCCATCCACTCTTATTTGAATTATAAAGGAGAAAGCCCCATACAATGCATACGCAAAGGAAATTATTGTTTATTGGCACAATCAACACCTAACTCTAGGTCAAGCAAAAACTTCATCCGAAAAGAAAAAAAGTTCATAAACTGGTGATCCCACTGAACTGAAAATAGCTAACAGTGACATTAGCTAGCAAGGGGTACATATGATGTGATTTGCAATGGCTAAAGTAACTTTGTCAAAAGGCAACCTCCGTAAGCAATTAAGAAAACGAAGTGGTTGGCAGTGCAGTGAGGAGCCATTCTCCATTTGGAGAATTTGATTATAACTTGCTCATGGTACACTCTTGGACTAATACAATAATGCATAGTATAATCTATGCAGTCTCTTGCCTAATGTAGCTAAGAGTACAGGTTTAAAGTACAAGCAATAAGTACAACAATACATATTTGAAGTGTCTGTTTTACCTTACATAACCATCACAATACCATGGACAAAAGATTGGTGCAGGGAAGTCACTAACCTCATATGTCATGTTGTCAGGGTCAATGTTGTCTTGCCAAACAACCTACAAACATAATAACGATTTTCAGTGAAGCAACTGGAAAGCATGTCCATCCACAGCAGACAACATAAATGTGATCTCACAAAACATATGGACAAGAAACTGCAGCAAGCATGTTTTAGCGCTTATGAATGAACAATAACTGAACATCACATGATATGTTGAGTTGAATGCATAATTGTAATATATACAATGTGGAACGTAAAATTAATAGAAGCAACAAACACTACAATAGGCATGTTATATTGTCAGATTTATTAGGTACCGGAGACAACTTTTATGGCATCTATACCCGAAAAATATAAACACCTTTTTTTAGGCACGCTGGACATATAAATTGACTTTGAATCGGAGACATGAATAACAACAATATGAGAAGAGGAATTCATTCTGTAGGGGATACGACATTCCTTGCAGGAGAAGGGCATATTAGGTCAAAGATAACCATGCTCAAAATTATCATTTACCTGAGGACTACCCGGACTTTGGTGTACCTGTTGGATGCCTGTAAAAAGAACAACATCAGAGTGCCAGGTAAAGATGGATTAGTAAATTACATTGTCAAAAAGGATGTGCAAAACCAAAGATGATTCTGAGAAGTTGAAAGTTGGACTGCCTGACTTCAAGGAAAAAGGATTTAATCTTATGACTTGTTAGTGAATGTTAATGTAACAATCAAATTCACAAACAGGTCTCGCTTTATGCATGCCTTGCATTTCCCTAAGCTTGTCATAACTTAAAAAAAACAAAAATCAAATTATCAGATGGTTCCGACATGTACAAAGTATGGTTAAAACTTCAAACAATTGGGACGTCTACTCTCTTATCAATATAATGTCCAAGGCTGTCTATTTTACAACCAAAAATCTAATAAAGAGACAACAAATGGAGCCTAATCAGATAACAGCAGTAACTGATGGCCATACACTACAAAACTTTTCTTGTCAGACACCCTGGGAGCGAATGAAGAATGCCTTCATATAGACAGAGACACTAGAGTTGCATGGTTATACAACCATGCATATTTGTTTACCGGTCCTCTTAGAAAGGAAACTTCAATGGGAGTATTATTGGCTCATAATGCAATTTAGATGTAAAACTACCTTGATCGCAAACATTACTCATGACAACTCTACTTCACATATGTGTCCAGTTGCAATAGAAATGCAGATTAATGAGAGTAAAGTTTAATTCCCAGGTGAAAGAATGTGTGGTGTTATCCCATATTCTTCGCCCACCATCTGATATGAAACCCTAAAAAATAACCTTTTCACTATTTAAGCCCAAAGTACATTGATAGCAAAGGAAGTGATAGTGATAAAATTGAGTGTATCACAGTACATTCTTAGCAATTTAACCAGAGATTAGCAATATTTCCCAAAACTATGTAATTTTCAGGACTTGTGTTTTTGTATTTTCGAACTTACATTCCTCGGTAGTAGTATTTGCAGTTGTGCGGGGAGCTTCACTGCCCTGCAGGACAACATTGGCAGAGTCCACATTGTTTGCAGGTGTAGTGTTATCCCATACTCTGCGCCCACCATCAGCTCTATGCAAGTAGTCGTCTATGTCATAGACATGAGCATAGCTGTAATAGTTCCCAGGACCAGAGTATCCATACTTGTATGAGTTTGTATGCATCATTGCCCAGTACGGATTACCCTGCACAGTAGTGGCAAATCATTGTGAATCAAAGCAGCCAATGATAAGGAAATAAGATTGTAAGCTGAGGCAGTCAATTACAGCCATCTGGATTTAGCCTTTTTTTCCCCCTTCCTGAGAGTTCAGTGCTATGCCAAAAGTAATTGCATAGGTGTGGCAAAACACAGGGTAACAAAATAAAAATTTTACAGTAATGTTGGGGTCGATGGATCTGCTGTACAAGATTATTTGAGAAACATGGCAGTAACGTTTTGCATACCTGATCCTGAAAGCCATCCATAAGAGCAAAGTCAGCATGAGCATAAGTGAGACCCTCAAAGAAATCCATGAAGCTCTCTGTGATTGTGTATGGAAATCCAGTGTTTATGTAGTGGAGTTC